AGTTAGGTGTGGTAGTACACACCTTTAATCCCAACACTTGGGAGGCAGAGGGAGATTGACCTCTGTGATTTCAAGGTGTGGTAGCACACGCCTTTAATCCCAGTGCCTAGAAGGCAGAGACAAACAGATCTCTGTGAGTTCAAGGTGTAGTAGTGTACACTTTTAATCCCAATGCCTGGAAGGCAGAGACAGGTGGATCTCTGAGAGTTCAAGGACAGCCTGGTCTACAGAGTTATTCTAGGTCAAAGATATAGAGAACCTGTCTCAAAAAGCAAAAAGTTAAAAGTAAAAATAAATGAAATAGAGGTTAAAATAAAGCTGCACAAAGATGGAAAATACACAGAGAATCTTGATACTGTATGCTATTATGCTCTTTTTGAATTGTGTGAATGCTGAGGAAGGAGCAACAGATGCCAAAAGATATTTGTTTATAAATGCTGCTGAACTAATTCAACATAGATATTTTGAAAATGCCTTGAATTTGAAATTTGGATCTAAGGACATGATGCTTTAGAAAGGAGTTTCTTATTTTGTTTTCACAGAGGATGAGACCCTGTTCATTTCTTCTATTCCGATTTGGTATGATGGACCACGCCCTCCTGAAGGGTTGGTGTGAACACCTTCAGAAAATTGCTTCGCTCAACTGCCAACTGAGATGAAACCAGCACACAGGTTATACCATGAAAGACCTAATTAACGATGCCCCCATTCAGCAGGAAGCAGTTTGGAGAGAAAAAACTGCGCCCACATTCCCAAATATGGTTTATAAACGTTCTTTTACATTTAAAGGGGGATATGATAGAGATATGAATAATTTACATTGATATGGATTTTGTTTTAGTGATTTAAATTTAAGGTCAATTTTGTTATATGTATATGTGTTTCTGATCTTGATTAAGGTACTGTGATTGTGTAGTTCATTTAAAAATGTAATCTCGAAAAAACAAAAAAACAAACAAACAAAAAAGGTAATCTATATTAGAAATATAGATTGTTAATAGATAATCATAATAGTCAAGTTTGTAGTCATGTTAGTTAAGATTTTCTAGATGTACATAGAAATATTTTAGATAGGCATTCTTCATATTTTTCAAAGATTATAGAATATGGCATTTTAAATGTTTTAATAATTTAGGGCTTTTCATGACAATGAGACACTCTGCTCCTGGCAGCACCAATCTACTTCAAGAAGAAGATGGGCATCAAAGAGGATCCTTATGGAGTCTGATAGCCATTTGGGCAAGAAACTGCTCTTGCCTGGACTGTTGCATAAACTGGACGAAGAGAACCCGCAGAGAGAGGACTACTGAACTTGCCTAAAGGTGAGATGATCTTTCGGGGTTCCTGACTCATGAAAGAGTCTGCAAGACATTCTGCAGGACACAGCAGATAGTGACTGAACTGTCTTTGGAATTTCCTGCTTGATGAAAATGTCTGCTGGATACTATGGGCCCAAAGGCTGAAGATGGATGCCCCAATGGTACAGAGGAACTTTGGGTGACTGTCCAGGCAGCGAGATGTCTCTGTCATTTCTAGAGTTTTGGACTTCTTGTTTACTTAGGTATTATTATATCCTTCTGGAGTCTTTGATGGAGTTGAAGAATGGATAGTTATAGTTTTCCTTAGTTATGATAAAAGATAAAATAGATATAAATATTGTAACTGTAATTCTTGCTTGATAACTGTTTTGTTATATGTAATTTTGCTATGTTAAAGTTAAAGCCTTCCTTTTTTTGTTTAAACAGAAAAAGGGGAAGTGATATGGGAGTGTCATATATCAATCTGTTGATTTCATTGGTTAAGTAATAAACAAACTGCTTGGCTTATAGCTTAGAACATAGGTGGGTGGAGTAAACAGAACAGAATGCTGGGAGGAAGAGAAAGTGAGCTCAGAGACTCAACAGCTCTCCTCTCAGGAGCAGATGCCTCAGAAGAGACTCCATGCCCCGCTCCCAGGCAGACACAAGCGATGAAGCTCTGACCCAGGATGTACGTAGGCTAGAATCTTCCTGGTAAGCACACCTAGCTGTGCTATGCAGATGATTAGAAATGGGCTAAATTAATATGTGAGAATTAGCCTAGAAGAGGCTAGATAGAAATGGGCCAAGCAGTGTTTAAATGAATACAATTTGTGTGTTGTTATTTCAGGGCATAAGCTAGCAGGTGGCCAGGGTGCTGCGAACACAGCCCCGCCGCTCTTACTTCAACAATTTTATATTCCAGACAGTTCCTTTTTAAATATATCATCTGTGTTTTACAAATATTCTTTTTCATTCACTGGCTTATCTTCTCCTTTTAAAAAATATCTGGAAGAATAAAATTTCTCAATTTTGTTGAATTTATTAATTGCCTCTTTTATATCAGATTTAATGCCTAATTTATGAAAGATGTGGTCTTACTGAAATTCATTATTTTTATCTTAAACTATATTTTGTGATCTATTCTAAGTCAGCATTTTTCTATTATATATTGCTAGGATCAAGATTTATTATTATTTTGCTTTTAGATAGTGAAACCAGAACAGGAACAATGAAAAAGGAAAAGGAACTCTTCCAAAAGTGGACTCGTGGAGAGGAAAATTACACGCGGTTGATGGAGGAAGATCATTGGCTAATAAAGAAACTGCCTTGGCCCATTTGATAGGCCAGCCTTTAGGTGGGTGGAGTAAACAGAACAGAATGCTGGGATAAAGAAGCCGAGTCAGGCACTTGCCATGATTCTACCACCCGACACAGCCACAGTTTAAGATCTTCCCTAGTAAGCCACCTTGTGGGCTACGCAGATTATTAGAAATGGGTTAGATCAATATGTAAGAGCTAGCCAATAAGAGGCTGGAACTAATGGGCCAGTCAGTGTTTAAAAGAATACAGTTTCCATGTAATTATTTTGGGTGTAAAGCTAGCTGTGCGGGCGGCCAGGTGCCAGGGAAGCAGCCCGCCGCTCCTAACACTACAGAGTGGCGCCCAACATGGGGCGCCAAACTGTAAGCGGCGTAATAACCAGGCTAGCTTAATATGAAACAGCAAATTTTAGTGAAGGGATAGCTTACAACACCAGCAATACAGCGATGAACAGGAGATACAAAAAAGAGACTGGCGGGGCTCATGCCTGCCAGATTTATATGTAAACATTAGCCCGAGGCGAACACGCCCCCCAATGGGCTGGGCTATCCCTACACGCGGTGCTGATGGGGAGGGCAGAGAGCATTATCATACAAATATATATGCCATATAAATGCCATGAGGAAAACTGTTACATTGTATATTAATTAAAAAAACCAGATGTTTAAAAGAATAAAAAAATTAAAATGAAACAAAACAAATGAACAAACAAAACCCCATTTTGCTCCTTCCTCTTTCCCACCCATCTGACACCTCTACGTTCATTCTAACGGCATTGGGAGCTGCCATCTGTCACAGTCTATCCCCTTGTCCACTCCACTCTACTTGCAAATATTCCCTTCAGTGAGTTGTTGGTCTGGCTCAAGGTCTCTGGCTTCCAGTACACCGTCAACCCTGGACCCCCACTGAAACTCCTCCCGGATATCCCTGCTGCTGCCCCGAGTCATGGAGATTCAGCAGCCATGGTTCCATGAGACCAGTCCCTTCACACGTTCTAGTGGATCATGGATGGGGTAGATGCTGGGATGAGCCAACTCAAATCCCTGGATATAGGCCTGGGTGGTAGCTGATTTGGTCAGTCCAGGCCTCTGGGACTGCCCCCCCTCAGGCAAGGGGCAGAGCCTGATCTTTTATGCCTATGCCATAGGGACTGGGGTGGGACCAGCTCTTCTGTTTTCAGTGGCCAGCGAGGAGCAGGGTCAGTTCTCCTAGAGCCAGCATAAGGCGGTGCTGGCTTAGTACAGCCTTGGATTTCAACACTCTTGATTACTAGGATTCCTTGTGGTATCTTGCATCACAGAGATCAGCCCGAAGTCCAGCTGCAGCAGGACCACAAACCCAGACATAGCACTTGGCAGTGACTCGGGCCCGGATATCACCATAGCCCAGGTGACAGCAGAGACTACCCAGATCAATTCTGTCCCAGAAGCAGCATGGCCCCAGGATACCAACATGGTTTCAGATGGCTGACCAGACCCTGGCAGGTATCTGCACAGCCCTTGGTGGTAACAGGAAACACAGACATCAATCAGACCCTGGCTGTCATAGGGCCATTGACCCAGATGTGGCCCTTGGCAGCAGCTTGGTCCCAGTTGTCACCATGACACCAGGTGGCAGCACAGGCGGCTAAGATTGGCATAGCCCTGGTGGTGGCATGGCTCGAGGACACCGACATGGACTCAGGTGGTTGTCTACCCCAGGCATTTGCTTGGTTTTTAGTAGTAACTGAAGCCACGGACATCGACATAGACCTAGCTGCTATAAGGCCATGGAGCTAGATATGGCCCTTGGTAGCAACTCAGGCCCAGATGTCATCTTGGTCCTGGGGGGCAGTGCAGGCTATTCAGCTCAGCAGGGTTCCAATGGCAGCAGCAAGGACCTCAGACACCAACACGGCTCTAGGTGGTGGCCCAGACCCAGAACCTGGGCATCCATGTGGTTCCTGATGGGAACATGGGCCATGGGAATCAACACAGACCTTGGCTGGGGTAGGACCACAAACCCAGATGTGACCCTTGGTGGTAGCCCAGTCCTAGACATCACTATGACCCCAGGTGGCAAACAGGCCACACATATCAGCCTGCTCACCACCATCTTTGGTTCCTCAGTTCAGCCTCTCTCCACAGTACATGGACTGCACGTGCTTCCCCCCCGCCTCCCCTCACCATTTCCCCACTATATACTCACCATAATGGTGTCTACCCACCTGGTACGCAAAGCACTGGGCAAGCCTGTAGTTGTCTTCAGTCAGTATGGGGCTGTGAAGACCCAGGCAAGGCATGTGCCTGTCTTTCACTCACCTGGCCATGGACGACCCAGGAGGGCCTAACTGACTCAATTTTTTTGGTACTTCTGCACCTTTATTTGACATTCAGCAGGTTAGTTCTCATCCACATTGACTCTCTGTGGAGTTTTGAATGTGGTAACCGACAAGTATGTTACCAATGTGTAGAGCTTGTTAGGCGAGTCCTCATCCTCATTACAGTTTCTGAACAAATGTACTTGAATACAGAGGTATAACATGTGTTATACCTCTGGTCCAGGCAACTTTATTGAGATTGATATCAATGTGCCTACCTGGAGGACCAGTTTCCTTCATGGAAAATTTCTGGATTTCTCTGAGTGCCTGAGAAGCACGCTTCTTGAAGCTCACTCCATGAATGTGCTTGTGAATGTTGATGGTGTGTTCTTGGATCACCACCTCATTGAGGGCAGAAGGGCCCCTCTCAACACCCCTCTTTGTGGGAGTCATTTTGCCAGGCCCAATTTGGAAAGGTAACTGATTCAATTTTTTCCCCTGAGACAGGGTTAACTGATTCAATTTTTAACAGTCCCCCCCCCTTTTTTTAAAAAAAATAAAATGTTCAGTCATACTATCAGTTGACTTTTGGCTTTTGGTAGTAGTGTTATTTGTTTGTTTGAGACAGGGTCTTTGTACCTTAGGCTGTCCTTGAACTGGATGTATAGCCAAGGATGACCTTGAACTTCCTGTTTCTAGTTCCCAAGTGCTGGGGTTACAGGTGTGTTCCACTATGTTCAACAGTACAATGATGACACTTGGAGTTTCAACGGAACTTGAGAATCCACCACGAGCTTTCCAGCAGTGGTAGAAACTATGGGTGATATTAATAATATGACCTTGATAGTTTATGGTAAAACATGTCATATAATTCTGTAAAGCAATATTTTTCAAGTGACAGATGCTTGTTGTTATATACCCAGTCATGATCAAAAGGTTCAATGAAAGTACTGGGTAGACTTGAGTTTGCTTGTTTTAAGGTTTAATTATTTTGTGTGTATGAATGTTTTGTTTGCATGTATGTCCCGTGCATTCTGAAACTGGAGTTATGGTTGATTGTGAGCAGCCATGTGGGAATGGAACCCAGGTCTTCTTTACAGGCACAGTAATTTCTCTTAACTACTGAGCCATCTCTCCAGCTCTAGACTCATGATTTTAATGCAACAGTATGCACAGATAGCCAGTATAATTACAGGTACCACATTAAAAGTAACTTTTAACTGGGCAGTGGTGGCGCACGCCTTTAATCCCAGCACTCAGAGGCAGAGACAGGAGGATCTCTGGGAATTCAAGGCCAGCCTGGTCTCTAAGAGCTAGTTCCAGGACAGGCTCCAAAGCTATTATGCATTTATCCCTTTTTGATTCTTAATGTAGCAAAGATTATGGATATATATATATATATATATATATATATATATATATATATATGGTTGTTAAAAGCTTCCTACCTTTCCATATTGTATCTGTGAGGCTAGAATTTTTTAAAGTATGCTGCTTAAATCACAATGAACTGAGTGCAGAAGCAGTTATAAAGGACTTGGAATGAGTGAACACTGTAATTAGCAGGGAGAGATTAAAGGAAGTGATACTTGGGAGGAGACTCAGAAGGCAATTTGGAGCCAGATCACGAACGGTCTCATGGGCTGTGTGAAGGGGATGATGTTATCCTATATAGTTTTGTGTGACTCATTCTGTGAGGAACAGGATACAAGGAGCAAGTGTGAGCACAGATAGGCAAGCTGAGATCCAGTTGAGGGATGAGAGTGACCTGGCCAGGTGTGATCGACGGTCTTAACTGTCAACCTCATGAAATTTAGAATCATCTAGGATGAAAAACCTATGGGCATGTCTGTGAGGTGTTCCTAGAGAGGTGGGGAGACCTGCCCTAAATATGGGTGGTACCAACTCATGGGCTGAGGGTTCAGGCTGAACAAAATGGAGAAACTGACCTGAGCACCAGCATCCATCTCTCTCTGCTTCCTGATTGTGATATAATGTGACCAGTCACCCCATGCTTTTGCCCCCATGCTTCCTCTACCTTTTAACTGTGAACCAAAATGAACCCTGCTTTTATTAAGTTGCTTTGGACAGGTATTTTTTTTTTATCATAACAGTGAGAAAAGCACCACAGCAGAGCTATGGAAGCTGAGAATGGAAGTGGATGGGCTGAGGGATATTTTTGGATATAGGGTATATTCTAGGCTTGATTGAGGGGATTGAGTACTCTGAAGATAAGGGAGAGGAAGCTGCCAGGCTCACGGCTAGCCTGAACAACCACAGAACTGGAGCACTATTCCTAAGGTAGAAAGTCTTGGGGAAGAGTAGATCCAAGGATGAGATAAAGCATTCTTTCAACCTGGTAGATCAACTGAAGGCAGCCTTGCTGAAGAATTTCCAGATGCTAGATGCTGAAGAGATGAGGCTTAACTATGCCAGGGCACACACTCGTGGCCTCTGTCCTTTGTGGAACTGCCCATCTATTTCTTCTTGTGACTTGTGTTTTCTAGATATTTGCTTGTATTGTCTAACATGTTTGGACTAGGAAGGCTTGGGAGAAGCTGGTACTTGAGACTGGATTGAATATCTCCCCCAAGGCTTGTTACTCTCTTCTTGGAGTCTTTGCCTGTCTTGGAGATGATATCTGAGACTAAGAAAGGGGAAGGGATCCTGGTTGTGGTACCTAATCCCAATACAGCATGTTGAGATCATTTGAATATGTTGGGCTCAGCATTCTTAGCTACGAAGTGATGCTGTCATTCAAAACTCCCTGTAACATACAAGACACCACTCTTTTCAGAAACCCCAGGTGAATTCTGGAAATGCTTCACAAACATCCCAAACACAGATGTAAGGAAAGAGAAAGAAATCTGAAGCTAAGCCCAACAGAATGAGGGCGTGAGAGAGCGAGATATCAAAGTCAAGAGGCCTCGGGCCAGTTCAGTAACCAAATATCTGGAGAAGAGGATTTGTCCTGGGCTGGGGCTCTAATGAAAGGTCACCTTCAAGAGGAAACATATTGTTTGACCTTTTTCCATATCATGTCCACCAGGTGAGGCGGTATAAAGCTTCATGTGGTCACAATTATATGCACATGAGTCTGAAAGAAAACTGGGATGAGGTAGTAGGGAGGTTGCAGTAAGGACCATGGATGTTGGTCCTGTGGAAATTTGAATGCAAGACTTTTTCATGTGAGTGGATCTTATTTATGTCTATAGACTCTGCCTAGAGTTGGCTGCTGTAGGTAGCTAGTGATCAGTAAATGTTTGTGGAGCTTTAATGCAAACTGACTTGTGGGAAAAATGTGGAGATGAAACACCCTAGCAAGGGGAAAGACATACATAGGGAGCTAGCTCTTGTAGAGGCTTGGAAGTCTCCAGTAAGACTTTAGAGGAAAGAAAGGGGGAGAGAGGAGGGATCCTGAAGAGAAAGGGAGAACAGGGGATTGTTGTTTGAATTCTAATTGGTCTTAATAATAAAAATCTGGAGTCTGATATTGGGGTGAAAGCTGAAGGATAAGAAAAGCAGAGAAGTCACCCACTAGTTCTTGCCTTATGGAATCCTCAGAACAAAAGGCAATCCTGTCCCTACAAATCCTCAGACTGAATTCTGTCTCTACAAAATCTCAGACCAAATGCTCTGAGCTCCCGTCTCCTCCTGCCTTGTATTTCTCTCTTTGCTCATCCATATTACTCTTGTCTCCAGAGGATGTCAAGGAACATCACAGAGGTGGGTGGAAGGTCAGCTGGCTGTCCTGACAGGCATTCTTTAGGCGGTAAAGAGAAATCATAAGGCAGTTCTGAAGGTCTAGACTCCTCTACCCGCCAAGCTCTTGCATGGACAATTGGTAATTACAGTAGAGATTGTGCCTTGAGCTGGCGATTTTGTCAGCATGATCACACAGCAAAGACACATTCACTACTGAAGTATGGTTCGTGGACCAGTTACAGAGACATCATTTGGTGTCTAGTTATCTGTGTCTCTACTGAAAATCATCTCCAAATACTAGACTTGTTATTATCATTCAAGGTTTCGGCAGGTTCTGGTTTAGGTTCTGCCACAGAGTGACAGTGGCAATATTGGCAGGGCCATAGTCATCTGAATGGTTGGCCAGGCCTTTGACTCTGCTGCTGAAGTAGCTCTGTCTCATGGCTGGCTAGTTGGTGCTAGTTGCTGGTAGGAGAATTCAGTTTCTTCCCACAAGGCCATTTCAGTGCCCTCAATAACATGGCAGCTGTCTCCTCTCCTGCAAAAGGAATGATCGCAGAGAATAAACTTCAGTTTCTTTTAGAACCTAATCATAGACAGTCATCAACTTCCACACAAAGCGTGGTCACACTGGTCAACGCTATTCAGTGAGAAGGAAGGGCTATGGCTATCCGACAAGGCTACGAATCCCAGGAAGCAAGAAAAAGAATCACCAGACCCAACCATAAGTCTGAAAACGTGTTTCACATGCAATTTCTCAGGCATAATCCAAGAGCTACAGAATCAGAAGAAACCCTGAGGGGGTACTTTACAATTGGAAGCAGCATGAGCTCTGTGGGCCATTCTGATGGATGCCATGATTTGAGAATCAATATAGTGATGCAAGAAACAGTCCCCACCTTCAGACAGCTTGTGGCCTATTCTAGATGACCAAGTACCATGGAACCGTACTGTAACTGCATGGAGGAGAAGGTAATAAAAATGTCCCTGGCTGACTGTTCTGGCTCCCTCTTTTTCATTCCTCTCTCACTCAGGGGCTCTGCTGTAACCTGGTCTCTTTCTTTTTTTTTTTTTTAATTATTTTTATGATTTATTTATCTTTATTTTTTTTATGTGCTTTGGTGTGAAGGTGTTAGATCCCCTGGAACTGGATTTTTTTTTTTTTGACAGTTGTGAGCTGCCATGTGGGTGCTGGGAATTGAACCCGGGTCCTCTGGAAGAGCAATCAGTGCTCTTAACCGCTGAGCCATTTCTCCAGCCCTCTTCATTTTCTCTTTACTTAGGCTGGAATGTTTTGGTATAAAATTCCAAAAGCCTCCCCCAAGAAGTTTTGGTGTATGCACTGTCTTTTGGGTACACGGCCCTGCGTCTGCTTTTCTGCAGGCAGCAGGTGCTTCACCGTGACTTTTCAGAACGGGTTCCCAGTTCTTCTAGAGAGGAGCTGACCCCTGGGACCAGTCTCCTGCACATTTAGATGACTGCCATTTTCAAACCAAAGTGGCTGTCTGGTCTCTTTCTTGTTACCGTTAGCTCCCATTGTGCTTTCTCCTGCCACAGAGTGAGCTGTTAATGGATACGACAATGTCTAATGTGGTCCCGATCACAATGGTTGCTCAGACAGCAATTCTTCACTTCCCTTTTCCTTGCACTGTGTTTCAAAACTGGAAGACCTAGTCCCTTCACTTAAACAAATTAGAACATTTCTGCAAGGCCTGACCCAGGGCCCTGGTTTCTGAAGGCATCTCAGA